CAGGCCACCCGGGCAGGAGACGACCGACCCGCCGCTGTTGCTGCTGCTGCTGCGGCTGGTGGTGGTGCTGCTGTTGCTGGTCCAGCTGCGGTGCCTACTCCTGGTGCTGCTGCTGGGGCTGCTGCTCCGAGGCACCAGCCCCAGCCCCCTCGTCGGTACTACCAGCGGGCGAACCACCTTCACCACCGCCTCCACCCCCTCCTCCGCTACCTCCGCCGCTCTCAGCCTTGGGGCGGCGACCCTTACCCGGACGAAACTTTGTTGTGGCAGCCGTGATGGCTGTCTCAGCGATAGCAGCACAACCGTAAGAGTAAGTGCACTGAAAGGGGGCACAACCCTGAAAGAAAGTGACTGGCACAGTACTGCTAGACTGGGCGATAGAGCGCTGACAAGTCTCTATGGCAGACAGGGTGTCGACAAAGTCAGTGAGGGTGAGGTCAGTGGGGTGGAGACTAAGAAAGTGATCGCGGGCTGTAGCAAGGTGGTCAAGGAGGCGGGTGGCAAGCAGGTAGAGGGTAGAGCAGATGGGGGGCTGAAACACACGAAGCTGGGCCTCAGTGCAGGCAGCGTGCCAGGTCGCGTCTAGCGTGCGCAAGTGGGCGGCCAGGTCAGCGACAGGGGGGAAAGACGCGAGATTAGGAAAGAGCATAGGCAGGAGCAGGCGACCGACGGAGGCAGAGGGTGAAGTGGAATAGCACGCGACAACAGCCTCTAGGAACTCCTGCGCAGTCCTGACTGACCTAAAGCGGGGGCGCTCAGACAGGGGGAGGGCATGACTGATCGCGAGCTGTGCGACAACGTCATGCGACAACCAGACAGCGCGGGCAAGGGTCAACAGAGGTGGGGTAAGCGAGTAGAGCAATAGGGGGGTCAGGGCAGGGGAGCATACCGTCGATGTGAACGGCCAGGGAGTGGCCGTCCTGCCGCTGACTGGTGAGGTAACGACGGAGGTCGACGAGCCACGTGTCGAACTCAATCCGCTGACCCTCCGCGTCAAAGCGCAGAACTGAGTCCGCCATCATGGTTGTGGTAGTAGCAGAAAGGCAGTAGTGGCGCTGTATTGAGCAACAGAGTGCGGCGGGAAGCAGTGGTGTATGGTGCGGTACGGTGCAATGCGGTAGTGTGCGGTGCGGTGCAGTACGGTAGGGTGCGATGCAATGCGGTGGAAAGGGGCCGATGCCGCTACGTGGGGTAGGTCGCGGGGTGGCTAGAAGACAGGGCCGCGTAGCGGCTGGGAGACGGGGCCGCGTAGCGGCGGGGAGACGGGGCCGCGGACGACGAGGCGGCGGGGCGGGCTAGGTGGCTAGGTGACAGGGCAGGCTAGGTGGCGGGGCCGGCTGGGCGACGGGGCCGGCTGGGCAACGGGGCCAGCTAGGCGACGGGGCTGGCTGGGTGACGGGGCCGACTAGGCAACGGGGCCGGCAGGGCGACGGGGCTGGCTAGGTGACGGGGCCGGCTAGGCGATGGGGCCGGCTAGGCGACTGGGCCGGCTAGGCGACGGGAACGACTTAGGCGACGGGGCCGGCCGGGCTACGGGGCCGTCTAGGCGACGAGGCCGGCTAGGCGGCGGGGCCGGCTGGGCTACGGGGCCGGCTGGGCTACGGGGCCGGCTAGGGGACGGGGTCGGCTATGCGACGAGGCCGGCTGGGCTACGCGGCCGGCTGGGCTACGGGGCCGGCTAGGCGACGAGGCCGGCTGGGCGGCAGGCCAGCTAGGCGCTAGGTGACGGGGGGGGGGGCACTAGGGGATGGGCCAGCACGGGCGGGAGGGCGACAGGGCGGCTAGGACCTATGGCGGAAGCACCGGCGGGCAGGGGGGGACCTAACCTACTCATGATACCACGTCAGAGGTAACGAAAATGACTAGAACGATGGCATACAAGGGAATATAACCTAGTGGGTTGTACTCTCTAAGGCACAACCCTGTATAGTCTATAACAACATACAAAGATATGCTAGACACAGAATCCATGAGATATCTGGGCGCCTTCGTGAGCGCAATGTTACAGAAAGATATAGGCTTTCAACTCACATGTTAGTTCGTTGTGAGAAGCTCGCCTGTCCTAAAAAATTACAAATAACCCTAAGGTCTTCCATCAATATGACGTCAGCGAGTTGAGGAATTGGATGCCATAAACTGACATGTGAAAGCTTACTGGTGTCATGATAAGTGTTAGGTCTGGACATCGTTCCAAAATCTCCTTCATGTCACGCCTCTCTAGCGATGGGTGCATGTCTCGTCTAGCGTGATGATGAATGCCGGGTCTGGACATCATTCCAGGGTATGCTCCAAGTAGTGCAGGATAGAAGGGTGAATGAACTATGGCTAGGTCAGGAGAGATTGAGCTGATGAATGTGAGGTGCGCTTGTACCAGGCAAGAGCACAAGTTTCTATAACTTGCGAATTGCCTCACATTATGATGAGGCAATCTGACATGATGAGGCACTATGTCACGAACCTTGTAGGCTATCACCGTCTAACTGTCTCGGATTCAGAGGTGGTGTGCTGCAGATGGAATTCGACGAGCTAATTTGTTATGATATGCTGCATTTAGTCACAAGTCTCGCGTTTAGAATGTTGGAAAAACGTGACGATTCGTAAGGGACAATGTCAGGAGCATTCTATGACTAGCACCGTGGAATCGTCTCGGCTACTCAAAGATGGCCTGCTACAGACATAACGCGCGGCGGAGGTGTGCTGCAGGCTGGGCGGATGAGCTAATGTGTCAGAACACGCGGCATAGTCACTACTCGGAGTTTAGGGTTGTCACTATCCTCCCAGTTTAGGTACGTCAGCCCCATCAGCCATCCTAAGCCCCATCAGCCATCCTAAGCCCCATTAGCCATCCTAAGCCCCATCAGTCATCCTCGTCCAGATCTCGCATACCCTCTTATTATCTTGTCTTGCTTTGTGGCAACAGGCAGACACCGACCCCAGCACTGGTCGGCCGCTAAGAGGCTTTTGCGTTATCTAGCAAGTACGTCGGGCATGGGGCTAGTGCTAGGAGGATGCAGGCCAGTGGTTTTCTCAGGGCACACCGACGCTTCGTGGGCGGACGACGCTGAGAATTTCAGGTCCTTCTAGAGCTACTGCTTTAGCCTTGGTACAGGTGCCATCTCGTGGAGGTCCATCCGCTCATCATCTGTTGCCCAATCTAGCTGTGAGTTGAGATCTATGCTCGTGTCATGGCGGCACAGGAGCTCCGCTTGGTGACGTTATTTATCACTGACTTAGGTGAGCGGCCTAGCTCAGCACCGGTCGTGTACGCTGACAACAGGGTTATGATCCTCCTGTATTAGGTACCTCGACTAGAGGGTAGAGCGAAGCACATCCGGTTGCGGTACATCCTCCTGCGTGAGCTACAGCAGCGCCGCCAGGCCCGCGTAGTACAGTTGGCCTTCGGTGCCTACACAGCTGATATCTTTACTAAGGCGTTTGCACCTAAAGATCATCAGTAGTACTGTGTACAGGGTCTAGTTTCAATAGCTCCTCACTTGCTAGAATCCTGATTGTGTTGTACTCTTTTTATAGTCTCTTGACTGGCCTTGTGGCTCTTGTTCCAGTGGCTGGACTAGTAGTGCCGCCCTTTTTTACTCTTGTCTATCTTGTAATCTTGCTGACTAGTCTTCAGACCCTTGCCCGAGAGGTTGGACTAATAGTGCCGCCCTGAGCTGTGTGTCTCTCACTAGGCACTACCCTTTGTCTAGCCTTGGGGGTTTGCCAATGTATACATATATTGTACATATAGCAGTTAGAGGCTATAAGGGTTCGTGCTCTTAGAGAGTACAACACCCAACTATATAGTTCCCTTGTATCCCTTGTTCAATTATATGCGTTATTCTAAGACTGTCATACATGCGCCTTCATAAATTCCATTGTCATTATGATTTTTTTAATAATTATCTAGCATTTCAACCAAATTTAAACAATACACGGATGAAATGGATTCGTTTGCCATAGCAAGCAATAGCCATAACTATGAAGGTGATGAACAATATTAGAGCTAGATAGGTGAGTATATCGACCTTCTAGGTGGGTATGTTCCTATGCAATGTGTCATCATCACCATCTCCGTTATGGGGCGGAGCGGCAATGCCACGTCAAAGCCGTGCGTTCCAGCGTAAGTCTCCCCTGAATGACGGTTCGCAGATGAATCTTCCCCGTTGACAGCAACCTTTCCCGACGATTCATGGGATTGTCGGTCAGCAAGCTCGATTTCCACGCTGGCGGCAGTCAGTATCGTTGAGGCCGGAAATTGCGGAATTAGGAACTGTACCATCAAGAATGCTGAAAGATGCAGACAGTTTCGGGGGTGTTTGGCCTTGCGGACTCAACTAACATGTGATGCTTAGTGCAAGCAGAGAGCAAAATTGTATAGAAACCAGACTGCCTTCAGCTTTGTCTGTCAGTGTTGTTGAACGAACACGTATTTTGGATGCTGGAAGAAACAAGCCCGCCTTCACAATCTGACCCAAACCTCTGATTGTGTGTAGCCATACCTGAGGAAGCCAAAGCCTCGGCACGAACCACAATTTTCCGCCAATCCCCAGTCTCTGCACGCTCGCAGTCGGTGAAAGGAGGAGATGTTGACTCAGGTTAGGTGCGGTGGGGGACGCAGTTCGCCAGGGAACATTGCTGGGGGCGGAGCGGAAGAAAGGCTACCCGCAGCCGCGCGGATGTTGTTGAACAGCGGGAGGCAGTGGCTGAGCAGTGCTGAAGCGCAGCGTGCGCGCGGGACATTCTCGAAGGTCAGGCGCAAACTCCCCCTTTTCCCGCCTGTTTCCCTGTCATTGTCAAACCTTCTTCCCTCGGGGAAGTTTGTTCGGGAATTCCAGCACCGGGATTCTCTGCCTCGGGAATAGCGCAGAATCGCGAAATCCAGAGGAAGCAGCGGCAACTCTAGGGAATTGCTGCTGCACCTCGAAAATAGCGGCGGGAGGAGAACAAGTGAAAAGTGGAGCAGGAGCAGCAACAAGACACCCAAGGGACGTGATCGCCATATAAAAGAATTGCGGTGGAGCGAGTTCCCATGAAGCCGACGCATTTGTTGCAAAGCATTTCTAGAGAGAGGCAGTGAGCCAGTCGTTTCCCAAAAGCCTCTGATAGCCATTGCTGCTGGGCTCTGTGGATTGCACCGAGCCACTTCGGACGGTCCGAGGACCAGAGCGTTCCTGCGCTCTTGTGAGCCACTGGTACTTTGTCTCCAGAAACGAGCTTCTCTCTTTGAAGAGAAGTCACGGACACCGCTTCACGTGAGCAACTACTGACGAGCACCGCCGGCGGTTGTTGCGCTGCATTTCTGCCGCCGAGCACCACGGAAGTCTCTACCTTAGCTCGACGAAACGATCAGCGCCTCTGCGCTGTCTCATTATGTTCATGCCGCGCTTCGTCACTTCTGCGACTGGTCCACTCTTACTGTTTCTCATCTGACGCTTTGCCTTCGGCTGCAGCCTGTGTGAGCCTCAGACCGTCAGAGCGTTTATAACGAAGCGCTCAGTTGACACAACCTGCGCGAATATCACCGTTGACACAACGTGACACGACGTGACACGACGTCACACGACGTAACACGACGTCACACGACGTCACACGACGTAACACGACGTGACACGACGTGACACAGCCGCGGCCCAGGCATGGCAACGGCGTTGTCCTTGACGCATCCCTTGGCAACGGAATGCAGACCAAGAAGAGGAAACGTTTTCCGTGACGTGCCAGCTCCTGCGGCAGTCAACGACGCGAGCATGAGACTTCACCTGACGTATTCCGTGACGTCACCCTCCCTCATCTCCGCCTCGTCCACCTCATCCTCCTCAGTTTCCTCATCCATTACCTCTTTCACCGAACAACAACGCAAACCGCATCTACTACTACTACGTGTACCTCAACCCTGTCATTCTCGTCCTTTTCAGCGACAACAGCGAGTCGACGACATCTCTCTTCAAACCACGGCTCCCCACCAACTGATGGCTCCAACGTGCTTCCGAACCGACGAGGGAGACCCGGACATTTCCATTCCTCACCATCCGAGCATCTCAGCCCCCTCCCATTGGTCCACCTCCAACCCCGCTTCAAGCTTCCTCGATACGCGATACGGCCCGTGGGCAAACGCTATGATGGAGAGACAAACTATGAAAAGCTTAGAAGACAAGTTTAAGGAGCAAGCCGGCGGAGGGGGGGGCGACAGCGGCGGAAGAGGCGGGGACGATGACGGGAATGGCGGAGACGGCGGGGGAGACGGGGGAGACGGGGAGGGGGACGAGGGGAACGGGGGAAACTTCAGTCAGATTGACGCGCTGCCGTTTCTGAGCCTGGCGTTTGCCGCGTTACACGCGTGCTACTGTATCGTCATAGGGTTAAAGGAGAAGGTTCTGCCGCCGGATTTCCTCCGCACGGCTGCTGGGCTGTCCTCGCTGCTCATCGCCTCGGCACTTCGACTCAACTCGTACGTGTTATAAGCCTCTCTCTCATTCCTTTTGACACAGCATCCCATACTCGTCGTTATTTCTTTAGACAGCAATGCTCCGCTTCGGAGCTCCTTACATCTCGGGAATAAAAACGAGGGACAAAACGAACAAAGAAGCAATGGAAGAAAAAAACCAAACTTGCGCTCGTTTTATTCTCCCCTCCTCACCATCATTCCCACTGCTTTGTCTCCTTGGCAGAACGCGCTACGGGTTCGACTCCTACGTACTGGGCCTTGGGGCATCTGTCGGCGTCTCTGTGTGGTCGGGTGAGTGGCAGAATGGTCTAGAGTGGTGTAGAGTGGTCTAGAGCGGTGACATCCATGCAAGTATGTGCAGTGTGGCATTGGTTGGGGCATCCGCCGGCGTCTCTGTGTGGTCGGGTGAGTGGCAGAGGCATCTCAGTTAAGACGGTTGATTGCTCCATTGGTGGTGTTGATTGCAACTACACGCTTCACGGGCAATCACTTGAGTGAAGAACCACAAAACAAGGAGGAAGAAAAAGAAGGAGAAAGGCAAAAGAGAGGAGACACTTGGAGTTTGCTTGACTGAAGCTTTACAGGAGAAACAAGGAAGCACACGTGCTGGCTTCCAGAAGGGCTTATTCCAGAGCTCAATATTGTACATGATATAATGAGGACCTCAACATCTTGTCAGCAACACGCTTATTGGGACCATCCGAACCAAAATGGTGCTTATTTTTGGTTTGGAGCATCAATTTGGCCTCAATCCGAACCAATTTGCTCGAAATGTGGCCTTAAATTGCCTCAGAGCATCAGAGCTGCTCTGATTTCCTACCCTCTCATTCTGCCCGCCCTTTTTTGCCCCTTGCCACTCTTGGTTACATATCTCGGCCTCCCATTCATCCCTTGCTTTTGAGTCGACTTAAAAGTCGCCTCCGATCTCCACTAACCCTCTGAATCCCTTTCACCACCCTGCTAACATCCCCTCCCCTTCCCCCTGCCCCCCCCCACCCCCCCCATCTTGGCGTCGCAGCAGGCTCTGCATTTAATTGCCTCCATCCCCACCTTAGAAACGACTCCCCCCTGTCATCCCCTCCACCCCCCGCCCTCTTCCTTTCCCACCCGTGCTTCCAGCTGAGCGCTGTCTCCTGAGCAAAGAGCCCTCCCCATCCGGCGTGTCTGCACTCTACTCGGTTCACTGCTTCTATCCTCACCTTAAAACGCTTTCCCCCTTTCTTCCCCTCCATCCCCCACCCCTGTCCCTCCCCCCCGTGCTTCCAGCTGAGCGCTGTTTCCTCCGCAAGGAGCCCTCCCCATCCGGTGTCGCTGCACTCTGCTCAGCTGTGATGGCTGCGCTCTACACATGCGCTCTCTACCGGACTGTGTAAAGCCCGTTCACAATGGCCTCCTCCTCAGCTGCAACCTGCGCTGCTCTGCAGTTGCAGCTGAGCTCTACACCTACACGCTCTACCACACTGTGTAAAGCCCACTTATGGCATCCTCAGCTGCAATCTGCTCTGCTCAGCATTGATGGCTCCACTCAACACATTCGCTCCCTACTGGACTGTTTGAAGCCCAGCATCTGCTCCGTTCTCTGCTGCAGTCTGTTCAACAGCCGCCATGGCTGCCCTCCACACACGTGCCCTCCACCGGACTGTTTAGAGCCCGCTCTTCACTGGACTGTTTGGAGCCCCGCTCTCAGCCTCGACCCTACATACGTACGCTCTCCACCGCCCTGTACAGAGGCCGTCTGTACAGCAGCTGTCACTTCACCGGACACAAGAGATGTGGCCAGCAACCCTCGCTCGCTCGCTCGCTCACCATCAGTCCCTGCCATGTGCCTGCATGGAATGGAGCCTGCCATGAGCAGCCACGACTCTCCCTACAGATCAATCCTGTACAGCAGTTGCCGCTTCACCGGACACAAGAGATGTGGCCAGCAGCCCTCGCTCGCTCCCTCACCATCAGTCCCTGCCATGTGCCTGCATGGAATGGAGCCTGCCACCACGACTCTCCCTACAGATCAATCCTGTACAGCAGTTGCCGCTTCACTGGACACAAGAGATTTGGCCTGCAACAGCCCTCGCTTGATCACCTATCCATGTCCGGGTCTTACTGTTAGATTGTCGAGAGAATGATGCTCAGCACCTCACCAAGAGGTACCAAGGCCTTTCTAGCCCTCCTTTCTCATTTCCAATGCCCCGCTAGGTCTTGACAGGCTGTGTGTTGTGTGTCATTTTAGGCTGTGTGTTGTGTGTCTTTTGAGGCTGTGTGTTGTGTGTCTTTTGAGGCTGTGTGTTGTGTGTCATTTGAGGCTATGTGTTGTGTGTCATTTCAGGCTGTGTGTTCTGTGGCAAAGGAGTGTGCTTACGGTATGTGTTGTTTGTTCAGTGTGCATATGTACCCGTATCATGTTAATCTCCATCCAACCAGCCATCTGTACTGTCAAACATAAATTGCATATTGTTATAGACTATATAGGGTTGTGCCTTAGGGAGTACAACCTATTAGGTTATATTCTCTTGTATGTCACTGTTCTAGTCATTCTTTCAATTCCAACATGATATCATGAGTAGGTTAGGTCCCCCCCGCCCAGGAGCGCTTCCGCCCTAGGTCCTAGCCTCCCCGTCGTCCAGCCGGCCCCGCCTCCTAGCCGACCCCGCCTCCTAGCCGGCCCCGTCGCCTCGCCGGCCTCGTCGCCTCGCCGGCCTCGTCGCCTCGCCGGCCTCGTCGCCTCGCCGGCCTCGTCGCCCAGCCGGCCCCGCCTCCTAGCCGACCCCGTCACCTAGCAGGCCCCGTCGCCTAGCACGCCCTGTCGCCCAGCCGGCCCCGTCTCCTAGCCGGCCCCGCCTCCTAGCCGACCCCGCTTCCCAGCCGGCCCCGTTGCCTCGCCGGCCTAGTCACCCAGACGGCCCCGTCTCCCAGCCGGCCCCGCCTCCTGGCCAACCCTGTCGCCTAGCAGGCCCCGTCGTCCGACCAGCCCCGTCCCCTTGCTGGCCCCGTCGCCTAGCCGCCCCGTAGCCCAGCCGGCCCCGTCACCTCCACGCCTAGCCAGCCTCGTCGCCTCGCCGCCCGCGGTCCCGTCTCCCACACGCCTCGCCGCCTTCCTCGGCCCTCTGCACCACGCTGCACCGCCCGGCACCGCACTGCACCGCTCTACACCGCATTGCACCGCCCTGCACCGCACTGCACCGCCCTGTACAGCACTGCATCGCACATCACTGCTTTCCGCCGCACCCTACTGCTTAGTACCGCCTTTCTGCTGCTGCAGCGACCATGATGGCGGACTCAATCCTGCGTTTTGATGCGGAGGGGTAGCCGATTGAGTCTGACTCGTGGCTCGTCGTCCTCCAACGACACCTGACTGGTCAGCGGCAAGACGGCCACTCCCTGGACGTCCACATCGATGGTATGCTCCCCTGCCCGGACCCCCATGCTGCTCTACCTGCTGACCCCACGTCTGCTGATCGTGAGTCCGCTGCCGCTGCTGCCCTTGCCCGCGCTGTCTGGTTGTCGCATGACGCTGTCGCACAGCTTGCGATTAGTCATGCCCTCCCCCTGTCCGAGCGCCCCCGCTTTAGGTCAGTCAGGACTGCGCAGGAGTTTCTAGAGGCTGTTGTCACCCGTTATTCCACCCCGCCCTCTGCTTCCGTCGGTCGCCTGATCCTGCCCATGCTCTTCCTGATCTCGCGTCTTTCCCTACTGTCGCTGACCTGGCCGCCCACCTGCGCACGCTAGACACGACCTGGCGCGCTGACTGCACTGAGACCCAGCTTCGTGTGTTTCAGCCCCCCATCTGCTCTACCCTCTACCTGCTTGCCACCCGCCTCCCTGACCGCCTTGCCACCGCCCGCGATCACTTCCCTAGTCTCCACCCCGCTGACCTCACCCTCACTGACTTTTCGACATCTTGTCTACCGTAGAGACTCGTCAGCGCTCTATCACCCAATCTAGCGGTACCGTGCCAGTCTCTGTCTTTCAGGGTTGTGCTCCTGCTCTGTGCTCTTACTCTGACGGTTCTGCTGTGGTCGCTGAGACAGCTCCGGCTGCGGAGACAGCCGCCGCAGTGCGGTTTCGTCCAGGTAAAGGTCGCCACCCCAAGGCTGGGCGCGGCGGAGGTAGCGGAGGAGGGGGTGGCGCCGGTAGTGGAGGTGGCTCGCCCGCTGGTAGTACTGACGAGGGGGCTGGGGCTGGTGCCTCGGCGCAGCAGTCCCAGCAGCAGCAGGCGCCGTCACTGGACCAGCAGTAGTAGCAGCTGCAGCACCCGCAGCAGCAGCAGCAACAGCCGCCGCAGCAGCAGTGGCGGGTCGGTCGTCTCACCCCCCGGTGGCCTGGAGCCGGCGGTGACAGTGGTCGCAGTGGTCGTGCGCGCGGCGTATCGTCGGGTGGTAGTCAGAGTGACGGGCGCTGCCAGTACCAGCTCCAGACCGGTCCTCGTCGCGGCCTCGTGTGCTGTAAGACCCGCAATGCCCCCACTCGTTGCTTCCGTCGCCTAGACGACCTGTTTCGTCTCCGCTTCGGCCCGTCGCCTAACCTCCTTGACTAGAACAGTCTGCTCTATCGTGGTGTTCAGATCTTTGATATGGACATGGATGAGATTAGCTCTGCTTTGTATGTGCTGTATGTCGATGACTCTAGTGTCACTGGTTCCTATTGACATGTGTTGCCTAGAGTAGGTGTGCCCAATGTGCCTAGTTCAGGCTCTGCTACTACGTCAGGCGTAGGATCCCCTGTATTGTTTAGCCTTGGGTCCTCCGTCGCTCCTCCGACCTCTGTCGCTGCGGCCGCACTTTCCTTCACCCTTGACTCTGGCGCTTCCCGGTGTTTCTTTCGCGACTCCATTACACTTACGCCGCTTGCCGCTCCCGCTGCAGTTGCTCTTGCAGACCCTTCCTCCGGTCATGTAGTCGTCCGTAGCTCCACCACTCCTCCCTGTCCGGCAGTTCCCTCGGGCTCCCTTACAGGCCTGCACATCCCCTCATTCTCTAAGAACCTAGTTGGTGTCGGCTGCCTACAGGACCTTGGCGTCACCACTACGTTCCCTGAGCACGAGCGGTACGCTGTCTGTACTGAGGCCGCCACTGGTGCCCCCCTCACCACGTTCCCCTGGGACCTGGTGTCTGGCCTGTTCACGCTGCACACCGCGTCTCCCCCGGTTGGGACGCCTTCCCAGGTACCAGTGTCTTCCCAGGTTGCTGCAGCGTGCTCATGTTGCTCGCTTACTCACCCGTCGCTTCTGTGGCACCACCGTCTAGGTCACCCCGCCCTCACCAGTCTCTGTCACATGTCCCAGCACCGTTTTGTCCTAGGCCTCCCTGAGTAGTTCCCTTTGCTCCCCTCCTCACCGGCGCCTCCGCGCACGCCCTGCATTGAGGGTCGGCTCCGCCGTGCCCCTCACTCCTCCTCGTTCCCCCCCAACTCCGCACCACTGCAGACCCTGCACATGGATGTCTGGGGCCACACCCCTGTCCATGGGCCGCGCCGCGAGCGCTACTTCCCAGTGCTTGTCGACGACTAAACATGCTACACCACCGTGTTTCCAATCGAGCGGAAGGCCGACGTGCCTAACATTCTTCTCCCGTGGCTTGTCTCTGCGCGTGTTCACCGAGGTCTCCCTGTCTTGCGTCTTCACTCCGACCGTGGTGGCGAGTTTGCCTCTGGTTGCCTTGGTCGCTTCTGTCGTGCGGAGGGCATCACCCAGACGTTCAACCTGCTGGACTCCCCGCAGCAAAATGGGGTCGCTGAGCGACGCATCGGCTTGATCATGGAGGTAGCTCGTACCTCCATGATCCGTGTCGGTGCACCCCATTTTCTGTGGACATTTGCCTTTCGCTACGCCGCTCACCAGCTTAACCTGTGGCCGCACTCTCAGCGGCCGCAGGTTTCGCCGACCCTTCTCTGGACCGGGTCTCCTGGCGCAGCGTCTGCGTTCCACGTCTGGGGCTGCCTTGCTCACGTTCGTGCCTCTGGCACGGACAAGCTCACTGCCCGCACTGTCCCCTGTGTCTTCCTAGGTTTCCCCCCTGGACTCGTCTAACGGGCAGTTCTACCACCCGCCTTCCCCCCGTTTCCTTCACTCTCGCGACGTCACTTTTGACGAGTCCATCTCCTTCTACCACCTGTTTCCCCACTGTGGTCCCCCGATCACTCCTCCCCAGTTCCTGGTTCCCCCCCCTCCCCCGGTCGCCCCAGTTCTCCCCCCTCCCCACCCTGCCCCGTGTGGTGTGTCTCACGTCACCCCCCTCCCACCGGTTGTCCCTGCCGAGGAGACTGCTGACTCTCGTGACTTGGCGGAGTCTCGTCCCCCGCCTGTCCGCTCTTGGCCTCCTCAGTCTTCCTTCCCCTGACCGCCTGCCGGTGCCTCACCCGTCGCTGCCGCCTCCTGCTCTGCCGGTACACGGCCCAGTGTTTCCTCCCCCGGACTCCTCTCCGGCTCGTTTCCCTCCCCTTTCTCCTTCTGTGTCTCCTCCCCTCTCTTCTGACCTGACTCCTCCTGCTCACGTCTGGTCTCGTCGTCCATCTCGTGCTCGTCCTACCTCCCATGTTCCGCGTTCTCACCCTATATTGTTGCGCTCTCATGCGTCTCGTGCTCCTCCTCTCCTCCCGTCTCCTCCCCCGTCGTCACTTGCTGTTGCCCCGCCTCCATTTTCGGACTTCCTTTGTGCTGCGCGTCCCCTTGTTCCTCGTGTCCTTGCCTCTCTCGTTACCGGCCCATCCGTTCCTGTCTCGAGTCTGTGGTCTCTTCTCGCTGCTGTCACTGACTTCGCCGCTACCCGCCGCCTGGACTACGCCACCGCTCTGGTCTCTGACCCTGCCTGCCCTCCGGCCGTCGGGGGTGTGGCTGCTCTTGGCAGTGACGTCCTAGAGGACAGGCAGTTCGAGCTCGCTTTCCTGTCTGAGGCTGCTCCCCATCTCTGTTCCATGCTACTAGTCCCTGAGGGTGACCCAGACTCCCTTGACATCCCGACCCCTCGCACCTACGTTGAGGCCACCTCGAGATCCTGGGCCTCTCAGTGGATAGCTGTCATGGAGCAGGAGATGGCATCTTGGAGATCCACCGGTACCTTTGTCGACGCAGTTCCCCCACCTGGGGTGAACGTAGTCGATCGCCGCAGGCTCTTCAAGGTGAAGCGCCCTCCTGGAGAGCCGCCTGTCTTCAAGGCGCGCTACGTTGCTCGAGGCTTCAGTCAGCGTGAGGGGGTGGATTTCTTTCAGACCTTCGCCCCGGCCCCGAAAATGACCACTCTTCGGGCACTACTATACGTAGGAGCATAGCGTGACTACGAGCTGCACTCCCTCGACTTCTCCACAGCTTTCCTCCAGGGCAGTCTACACGAGCAGGTTTCCCTGCGCCGCCCCCAGGGCTTCTCCGGTACCTTTCCCCCTGGCACCGAGTGGCTCCTCCGGCGCCCCGTCTACGGCTTGCGCCAGGCGCCCCGTAAGTGGCACGACACGCTGCGTGCTACACTTGCTGATTTGCAGTTCTTCCCTTCGTCTGCAAACCCCTCGCTCTTCATCTGTTTCGGCCAGATTCCGTTCTACATCCTTTTCTACGTAGATGACCTGGTCTTTGCTACTGCAGACAAAGACCCGCTGGCCTCCGTGAAGGCCGAGCTGCAGAGGAGACACGCCTGCACCGACCTAGGAGAGCTGCGCAGCTACCTTGGCTTACAGATCTCCAGGGACAGAGCAGCGCGCACCATCACTCTCTCACAGTCACACTTGGTGCGACAGGTCCTTCAGAGGTTCGGCCTTCAGTTCTCTTCCGCACAGCCCGCCCCTCTGCCAGTAGACCACAGACTCTCTGCCCCAGTCCCGGAGGAGGCAGTAGAGCCTAGTGGTCCCTACGCAGAGCTCGTGGGTTGCCTCATGAAGCTGATGATTTGCACTCGCCCAGATCTCGCATACCCTCTCAGCATCCTGGCTCGCTTTGTGGCCCCCGGCAGACACCGACCACAGCACTGGTCGGCCGCTAAGAGGGTTTTGCGTTATCTAGGAAGTACATTAGGCATGGGGCTAGCGCTAGGAGGAAGTAGACCAGTGGTCCTTACCGGGCACACAGACGCTTCTTGGGCAGACGACGCCGAGACTCCCAGGTCCTCACAGGGCTAATGCTTTAGCCCTGGTGCAGGTGCCATCTTGTGGAGGTCCACCTGCTCCTCGTCTGTTGCCCAGTCTACTTGTGATGCTGAGATCTATGCAGGTGCCATGGCGGCATTGGAGCTCCGCTAGCTGATCTTCTTGCTCACCGACCTGGGTGAGCGGCCTATCTCTGCCCCGGTTCTGTACGCTGACAACAGGGCCATGATCCTCCAGTGTCAGGAGCCACGACTTGAGGGCAGAGCAAAGCACGTCCAGCTGCGGTACTTCCTCCTGCGCGAGCTGCAGCAGCGTCGCCAGGCTCGTGTAGTGCACTTGGCCTCCGGTGCCAACACAGTTGATATATTTACTAAAGCGTTTGCACCTAAAGATCATCAGCGGCACTGTGTATAGCTAGGTCTAGTTCCTGTAGCCTCTCACTTGTTAGGATCTTGATTGTGTACAGACCTTTATATATATTATCCTGACTGGCCTTGTGGCCTCTTCCTAGTGGCTGGACAAGTAGTGCCACCCTGGTTTTGCTCTTGCCTTGTCTGTACTCGTTTGACTAGTCTTTAGACCGCTGCCTCAGAGACTGGACTAGTAGTGCCACCCTGAGCTGCTTCTCTCTAGGCACTGCCCCTATCCAGTCTAGGGGGTGTGTCAAACATACATTGCATGTTGTTATAGACTATATAGGGTTGTGCCTTAGGGAGTACAACCCATTAGGTTATATTCCCTTGTATTCCCTTTACATACAATGTTCTAGTCATTCTTTCACTTAAACACTGCAGGACAAAAATTATACTTTCCCACGAAACCAGTTGCTGACCATGCAAAAGTTGTCAAAAACAAGAATGTTATTTTTTTTAGTAATTGTATCATATGTTTCCGCACACGGATATATATATTGCATATAATCATAACTACATCTGCAGGTGAGAGAGAGCCCCTTATCAATCAGTGCATGCCATCCTGGCAAGGCATTCTCTGGCATTTCTCTAGAAAAAGCCCTTCCTTCCAAACAACCCCTTGCGCTTCCCCAAAAACCCCTTGCGTTTCCCAAACAATCCCTTGCGCTTGCCGAAGAAACCCTTGCGCCCCTTGAACTTGTGATGATGATGGTGGCCTGTGGAACCAGGAAAGGGAGCATGGGGTGGGGGGGGGGGGAGTGGGGGGGGCGGAAATGTGTTGGGAGGATGGAGGGTGGCTGTTAAAAACCCCTTTCGCTTACCCAGGACTCCGTTGAACTTGCACTTGTGATGGTGATGGTGGCCTATGTGATATGAGACTCAAAACGAAACTCATATCGGTTGTTTAGGGGGGGGGAGGGAATTGGGCGAAGGAGGGAGGAAGGCTGATTAACGTAGGGGATGATGACCCACGAATCCCTTGAACTTGCACTTATGATGGTGATGGTTGCCTGTGGAACCAGGAAAGGGAGGAAGGTGGGGAGGCGGGTGGGGAGGAGGTGAGATGTGAGGATGGAGGGAGGCTGTGTAAATAAACGGCATGCTTCCCCACTTGCATGCGCATGCATGCTTATGCACTTGCATGTGCATGCATGCTTCCGCACTTGCATGTGCATGCTTGCTTCTGCACTTGCATGTCCATGCATGCTTCTGCACTTGCATGTGCATGTGTGTGAGAGGGGAAGGGGGAGAAAGGGGAGGGGGGGGGGTTGGGGTGGAGTCTGAATGTGTCTGTGTCTGAGTGTGCGTCTCTTTCCCTCCCAAACCAGCATGTTCGTGTCTAAGAGAGACTCAGAACAGTGCACCCCTCTCTCACCATGTCCATGCACCACCACCACAGTCGGCTTGGGAGGGAAGTGGAGACATAGTGAGGGAGCGTGGAAGTGGGTGTGCGCGTGGGTGGGTGTGCATGAGATCGATATAGTCCACTCCTCACTCTCCATGCCCATGCACCACCACCACAGCCAGCTTGGGAGCATGATGCACATGAGGAGAAATGATGCACATGAGAAAGAGGAAGAGCAAGAGTGCAAGAATGAGACAGAATCAAATCAGCCCCCTCCCCCCCCTAACAACTCACCATGCCCATGCACCACCACCACAGCCGGCTTGGGAGCATGCTGCACATGAGGAGCTGCGTGGGGAGGAGGCGCACCATACCCAGGGTAACCCTGGGGCGGGTAACCCTGGGGAGGGTACCCTTGGGGAGGAGCACCATAGGGAGCGGGAGCATGCCCAGCAGGGGGGTAGCCTTGGGGGGGCGGGGCGCCGTAGGGCGCGGGAGCATGGCCGGGGGGAGGAGCACCATAGGGCACAGGAGCAGCGCCAGGGTAGGCGCCCTGCGGGGGGTAACCGCCCTGGGGCGGGTAACCGGGGTAACCGGATGGTGGGGGGGCGTGGCCGGCAGGGGCAGGGGCGTGCTGCTGGGGATAGCCCTGAGGGGGAGGGGCGGAGTGAGAGGCTGCTGCTGCTGCTGCTGCTGCAGGGGCACCAGGCGCACCGACAGGCTGAGGGGCGTTCGGGAGGGGGGAGGGAAGAGGGGGAGGAGATGGTGATAAAACAGATAAGGGAGGAGGGAGGCGGAGTAAGGAAGGGTGTAGTGAGAAAAGTGGAAGGGCAAGAAAGACAAGACACACATCGGGTGGAGTGACCAGGGAAGAGGGGAGCGGAACACAGGAGGCGTGGTGAGAGGACAAAAAGAACAAAGAACGGAGAACAGAGAATGGATAACGGATAACGGAGAACGGAGAGCGGAGAGCGGAGAACGGAGAACGGAGAGCGGAGAAGAGAGAAGAGAGAAGAGAGAAGAGAGAAGAGAGAAGGGAGAAGGAGAAGCAGAAGGAGAAGGAGAAGGAGGAGAAGGAGAAGGAGAAGGAGAAGGAGAAGGAGCAGGAGCAGGAGGAGGAGGAGGAGGAGGAGGAGGAGAAGGGAGAAGGGAGAAGGGAGAAGGGAGAAGGGAGAAGGGAGAAGGGAGAAGGGAGAAGGGAGAAGGGAGAAGGGAGAAGGGAGAAGGGAGAAGGGAGAAGGGAGAAGGGAGAAGGGAGAAGGGAGAAGGGAGAAGGGAGAAGGGAGAAGGGAGAAGGGAGAAGGCAGAAGGGAGAATGGAGAATGGAGAATGGAGAATGGATAACGGAGAATGGAGAATGGATAACGGAGAACGGAGAACGGAGAATGGAGGATGGAGAACGGAGAACAAAGAATGGAGAACGAAGAACGAAGAACAGGGGGGTGGCAGCAGTTGGAATTTGAGAACATGGTGTGATAAATGGATAAACTATAAAGACTATTCAGAAAACCACTCTATACACATGGCGAGGGCTAGAGCTAGGGCTAGGGCTAGGGCTAGGGCTAGGGATAGGGAGAGCGAGAGGGAGAGGGAGAGGGAGAGGGTGAGGGCGAGGAAGAGGGAGAGGGGGAGGGAGAGATATGGTGACATAAGAGACACTGAGCATACCGGGTAATACTTCAAGGCAAGGCGAAGGTTTCCCTGCTGCCTGAAATTGCACGCCGCGCCAACACAAAAAATGATTGGGCACGGAAAACGGAAAAAAAAGTTTGGTGAAGAAAGCAATCAGGAGAAAACGAAGGTCAGCTCTTCTAAGAGAATGTTTTGACGAAAAAGGCTAGAACAGCCAGCTATCGCGTACTGGTATTTGACTATGGTTACTAGTCCATGACAAGGACTGACCTGCCCTTGGGAGTGAAGAGAGGATGCCACGTGTCCCACACTGGATAGCTGAAGGCCTGTCGAATGTTCACCCTGAACATGCCACGTCACAGTCAGAAGGGGCAGTGGAGAAAATATTCCAGTTTGAAAGTTGTACGCTCGCGCAGGGATGACAACGCACGTCGCTCGCGCAAGGATGACAACGTACGAAACCCCGCCGTTTATACGAAGCTACAGAATCTACTTCGAAGTGAGCTGACTGGCATAATACGTACTCGCAAGTTCCAACCTTCTCATCAGTTCATCTGATTTTTTATTCTTTTCCTTAATCACGCAAATGAGTTGGCTGAGAGCGTACTTACTTGCAGTATCCGATCTTGTCATCCGCCTTCTTGTTCTCGTTCCAGACCTCGAAGAAAGCATCGTCGACGCCATGGATCACGTTCAGGCGGAAAGTCGTGTTCCACACGGGTGACGTGTGTCCGTCTGCGCGTAGCGGGGGAATATGGAGAAAACGCGATCAGATGATGAGATGCGTTAGTCTGGAAGTTTTGACGACGTTCCACGCACGCCACTGACGCGTGCCCGTTTAAACTAACGACGGGAAGGAACTGGTGGAGGGCGATAGGCGATTGCTCGAAGAAAGCATCGTCGACGACATGGATCACGTTCAGACGGAAAGTCGTGTTCCACACGGGCGACGTGTGTCCGTCTGCGCGTACGCAGGAGGGGAAATTGGTGGGAGGAAAAAATGGAGAGGAAATCGATGGAGATGAAATATGATGGAGAAAGATAGGCGATTGCTGGAAGGTCGTCTCCACTCGTCCGACGTGAGTCCATCTGCGCGTACGAGGGAGGGAAAATGGTGGGAGGAAATTGATGGGAGAAGGACAGGCAACTGACTGACGGAAGGTCGTGTTCCACACGGGCGACGTGTTTCCGTCTGCGCGTACGAGGGAAAGGACGTATGATGGAGGCGAAATTGATGGGGGGAAGATTGATGGAGAGGAAATCGGTGGAGGACGACGGACAACTGACGGGAGGTCGTGTTCCACCACACCGGCGGAGTGTGTCCGTCTGTGCTACAAGGGAGGGGAAATTGGTGAGTGAAAATTGACGGAGAAACATGGCGGAGAACGATAAGCGATTGCTGGGAGAAGGCTTTTTCGATGCCATGGATTGCGCTCAAACGGAAGGTCTGGTTCCACACCGGCGACGTGAGTCCGTCTGTGCGTACGACGGAGGGAGGGGAAATTGATGGGAGGAAATTGACAGAGATCAATTCGATGGAGAACGATAGGCAACTGCTGTTAAGGCAGCAGCAAGGAGATTTCGGATTACACCGATTCAACTGGCCGTGTTCCATGTCCAGAGAAGTTAATCATAAAATTCCCAGGAAGAACGAAGCGACGCAGTTATCAGAAATATGCGGCAATGAGAAATTACGCCTTGTTAACATTTCGAGAATGAACTTGACATCGAGAATTTGAATTCGGCTTAAAGTCGTCACCTTCAGGCGATCACTTCCGGTGTTTCTGTTGGCCGGACGAGGGAACCGAATAAGAATATCGCGTACCTGATTCGTCTGAAATCTAAACAAACCTCAGTCGTCGCCTTTGTGCGTCTTGGTGCGGTGCTTCTGCTGGCCGTACGTGAGAACCGCGTACGGATCTTGCATGCCGAAGATGACTCAAATCTAGATGAACGTAAGATAAAGCGAGTACGAAGTCGTCACCTTTGTGCGTCTTGGTGCGGTGTTTCTGCTGGCCGTACGTGAGAACCGCGTACGGATCTTGCATGCCGAAGATCTCGGTGTCCTTAAGTTCCCTCGCACCGATGACTGCCATAGACATTCACACGCGCACACAGACACACGCAGACTCGACTTGTGAGGCGCCTCAAAGAACTTGCATGCCGAAGATCTCGGAGTCCTTAAGTTCCCTCGCACCAATGACTGCCATAGACATACACGCAAAGAGTCAGGCAAAAACATCGTCATTGACGCAAACAGACAGTCAGGAGGGTGTTTCTGAGAAATGTCAAAGACAGTCAGTAGGGTGTCTTTGAGAACTCTCAAAGACTGTCGGTATTGCACACCTATAAAAAAAGACTATTTAAGATTACGGCTTCGAAAGACAAAGACGGCTGTTGAAGAAATGCTGAGAGTAGGTCTCCTTACTGGTCACATCCAGCCATCCTGCAGCAGCCATGTCTCGGACTCCTTGAATAATAGGAGCTAGAAACAAAAGAGACAAAAACTGAGCAAGCACCAGCACACCAGCACCGGCTAAGGACGGCCTTGCTGGCTAACTCCTCTCCGCTCCAGCCGCCTCAGTACTTTTTCCCAGCAAGCTTGCCTCAGCAAGCTCACTCTTGTTTTAGTACAGTATACTGTACTGCACTCTCTCCAGGTCCTGTGCTCTCTCCCGTTCCCTGTGAATCAAGACAGTAACGGATTTTATGTCGTGATGCTTGGGTTCAGTTTGGTTGGGTGAGGCGGAGGGGTCAAATGGTGAGGCGCACTGCGCTCTGCTCAATTGCACAGGGCCGTATTGCCTCCATCACCACTACCTGGTTCGGCAGCCACTCACCCACGCCATCTGGAGAATGCCGCAACCAGCAGCACATAAGGGGCTTCGACGTGACAAAAACGAAAGCAACCGACTGTGGTGGTGATTGAGGTTGGGAGCAGGCCTCTCGATAACCTCGGGGTCACCCAGCAGAATCCGAGTTTGCCCGGGATCCAACTTGTCCAGGCTGGGTAGCCCAAAAACTTTTGACTGTTTTTGCAGGCCAGAGTTTCGACCAGCTCGGAAAGTGCCACTCCTGAAAATGACAGGGGGAGCCATTTTTTCTAGGGGTGCGAACTCTACATTAGATTTTACAGGGTAAGTCCATCCCCTACTCGGAAATCCGCCGTGGGATGATTTTGGCTTGCCTGTCCATGGACGTGTATCGATATTCTGAATGCGTCAAAAGCAGGGCTAGGTTGAAACTTTACCCTGTTTTCCTTGACAAATCAGTGTAATTCCAGAGGCCAGGTTGGGAGAGGTTTGCCACTTGGCAGAACCTGAGGGGAGCGCTCCCTACTCTACCGTCCACGAGTTGCGACAGATTGACGAAACCGTTACACCCTCGCGAAAAGGTAAACCTGTGTGATGAAGAGCAGACAGTCCAGCCTTCCCATTTGTGCGGCAGGAACCAAGCAGAACGCAACGCACCTTTTAGTCTAGATTCCATGTTCTCCTCCCGCCACCTCACACCCTCTCGCCAAATCCAAAACGACGCAACGGGTAGGCCCACGAGGGATGGGGCGTTTGGGGGAGCCAATGCCAAGTCACAATCACGTCAAGAGAAGCAGCTGATTGGTAGTTGGGTACAGCCCGTGATTCGGTGCTGACGAGGGAGGGAAGAAATTCGAACGAACCCGTACAGTCACCAATGCCCGCGCCATGAACGCTTCGAAAAACATGAATGCTTCAAAAAAATTGTTCACTTACATTTCATTGTAATTATCGAAATGAAATGTAAGTGAAATGAAATGTAATTACAATCTGCCAGCGGGGCAAATCCTTTGACATCTCTGTGCTTGTAATACAGAAAAAGAATCATACAATTTCTTTTCATATGACTGTAGTCAGTATTCTTGTAAGTGCCGAGACGCATGTGAGGCCAGGGCTAATTACGAATCATTGGACAAACGCGCGTGCTGACAATTGCAACGTTCACCTGGAATGAGGAAGGCAACCACGGGATAACGCATAAAACCGTTCTGAATAAACCGCCTCCGACCTACAGTATCATTATTCCCGAACCTGTGTTGCGCAGGGGAGTTATTTGTTGGTGGGTGCATGGGAGATGTATTTAGGGTCAGGAGGAGAACGAACGGCAGATGTGTCCCGCTTTCCGTAACAAGTCAAGGCAGGTTATGGCACCGCGACCCAACGACGTAACGAAGCAACGACGCAGCGACGAGTCTTAGGATGGGACACACCATCACCATCACCATCGCCATGATTCCTCAGACTCCCTAGGAGGCGGCCGGCGGCTCGATTCCTCAGTCTGTTAATGATTGCGTCCACGCGACGACGGAACGCGGCGCTCGATCAGGGACGGCTTCAGCCTAGACATCTGCTCCGATCGAGTCGATCCTTCTGCCGCGGTTCAATCCATCACCTCGGTATTTTGAGTCGACTCAAAATACACCTGGGCAAGCTGACACACGGCTTATTCAAGGGGAGACGTGCTTTGATAGCATGGAAACTACCGCTCCATCAGGGACGGCTTCAGTCTAGACATCAGGGACGGCTGATTGCGTCCACGCGACGACGGAACGCGGCGTTCGATCAGAGACGGCTTCAGTCTAGACATCTGCTCGATCATTCTGCCGCCGTTCAATCCATCTCCTCGGTATTGCCGAATGATGCGGGAAATAGCGGGCGGCGCTTAGAGCTTTGCCGAGCTTAGAGCTTAGTCGAGCTTAGAGCCTAGTCGAGCTTAGAGCTTAGTCGAACTTAGAGCTTAGTCGAACTTAGAGCTTAGTCGAGCTTAGAGCTTAGTCGAACTTAGAGCTTAGTTGAAGACGCCGTTCCCTTGAGAATAGAAGTTCGAAATTCGAGCACGAACCATCCTAACCATCTCATAGTGGTCATGCACCGCTATAGCGCCTCTCAATCGCAAGACGGAAAGAGAATCCGTCAGTGTTACTCACCGAGCAGATTTTTCAGTCGACTCAAAAAGTATCTGCTAGTGTTACTCACCGAGCAATCTGCGGAAAGTAGAATGCTCGCCGCGATGATTCGGACGGCACGTGGCTGCCACGTGCTCGGCGCGTGGCTGCTGCCACGTGTCGTGCTTCTACTGTTGGCCTCCGCGACTTACGTCGCGTCGTGCAATCCGTCGTCCCTTCGGGGATTCGCCAATTCCGTTGATCTATCTGGAAATGGGTGAGTCGAATGGGCCAGTCGGAGTCCTGTGGTTACCAGGTCAGGTTCGGACAACCAACCAGCCACGCCTTGGAGCCTGCGAGCCGTTGTCCCTTCCGGGATTCACCAATGCCGTTGATCTATCTGGAACCGGGTGAGTCAAATAGGCCAGTCTAAGTCCTGGGGTTACCAGGTCAGGTTGGGACGGCCAACCAGCCACGCCTTGGAGCCTCTGTGCGAGGCGTCGTCCAATGCCGTTGATCTCTCTGGCAGTCGGTGAGTTGAATTGGTAAGAGGAATGGGTGAGAGGAATGGGTGAGAGGAATGGGTGAGAGGAATGGGTGAGAGGAATGGGTGAGAGGAATGGGTGAGAGGAATGGGTGAGAGGAATGGTCCAGTCTGAGTCCTGTCAGTTACCAGGTCAGGTTCGGACAACCAACCAACCAGCCACGCCCACTTGGCGCCTCTGTGCGAGCTGACGTGCCTGTGGGGATTCACCAATGTCGTTGATCCATCTGGCAGTCGGTGAGTCGAATAAGTCACCTATCTATCTCTATGCTGTTAACTTTTTAGGCGCCTAAAATATCCACATATCACTATGCGATTATCACATATTTTTCTATGTTCCTCACCCACGATGGGTTCAGTTGAGTATTTTTTTGAGGCGCCTCAAAAAAAGATATTTCCATGCTCCTCACCCATGGTGAGTTCAGTTGGCATTTTCTCCCTCCCCTTTCTCCCGTCTCCTCCACTGGACCCTCAACTCATAATTGTTACAACTCCAATGCACCCTAGAAGCCAGTCCTGGGACCGAGTCCGGCTGGTTCTCCGTTAGTATCTGACTCTCCTTCTGCCCATTCCCCTTCCTCCACACCCCCTCCCCGCCACCCTCCCCACCACCTCCCCCCCTGTCCTCCAGCCTCCCCTTTTCCTGCCTTCTCCACTGGACCCTCAACTCATCTCAACTCCAGATGGCACTAAAAGCCAAACCTGGGGCCCGGTCTGGCTGGTTCTCTGTTGTATCCAACTCTATTTCTGCCCGCACCCGCCTCTCCCCCCCCCTCCCCTCCTTCCAACCCCTCCCCTCTCCTCCCCTGTCTCCCGTCTCCTCCACTGGACCCTCAGCTCATCACTGCTACAACTCCAATGCGCCTTAGAAGCCAGTCCTGGGGGCGAGTCCGGCTGGTTCTCCGTCTCTATCTGGCTCTCTTTCTGCCCTCACCCGCCTCTCCCCTCCTCCCATCTCCCCCTCCCGCACCTCCCCTCCCCTCCCCTCCCTTTCCCCAGTCTCGTTCTCCATTGGACCCTCAACTCCTCTCAGCTCCAGCTCGCCCTAGAAGCCAAACCCAGCAGTGGGGCCGAGTCCGGCTGGTTCTCGGTCGGCTGGTCGGCAAAATCCGGACGCATGTATCCTGCTGATTGCGTGATTGGGAACCTTCCGGGAAGCAGCGTGGCCGCGTATCACATCAGTGGGTACAGCCAGTCTGACGTGGCGCCCTCTGATAGGTTCAGCGTCGGGTCGCCTGTGCTGTCTGCTGGATTGACTGGCGACAGGATTATGAGGTGAGTGCACGAGTGCCCGTCTTATGAGTGCAGGAGTGCCGTCTGCTGCATGTGCCGTCTGCTGCAGGTGCCGTCTGCTGCAGGTGCCGTCTGCTGCATGTGCCGTCTGCTGCATGTGCCGTCTGCTGCATGTGCCATCTGCTGCATGTGCCGCTGCTGCATGTGCTGTCTGCTGCATGTGCTGTCTGCTGCATGTGCCGTCTGCTGCATGTACCGTCTGCTGCATGTGCCGTCTGCTGCATATGCCGTCTGCTGCATGTGCCGTCTGCTGCATGTGCCGTCTGCTGCATGTGCCATCTGCTGCATGTGCCGTCTGCTGCATGTGCTGTCTGCTGCATGTGCGGTCTGCTGCATGTGCGGTCTGCTGCATGTGCCGTCTGCTGCATGTGCCGTCTGCTGCATGTGCTGTCTGCTGCATGTGCCGTCTGCTGCATGTGCCGTCTGCTGCTTGTGCTGTCTGCTGCAGGTGCCGTCTGCTGCATGTGCCGTCTGCTGCATGTGCCGCTGCTGCATGTGCCGTCTGCTGCATGTGCCGTCTGCTGCATGTGCCGTCTGCTGCATGTCCCGTCTGCTGCATGTACCGTCTGCTGCATGTGCGGTCTGCTGCATGTGCTGTCTGCTGCATGTGCCGTCTGCTGCATGTGCCGTCTGCTGCATGTGCCGTCTGCTGCACGTACCGTCTGCTGCACGTACCGTCTGCCGCATGTGCGGTCTGCTGCATGTGCGGTCTGCTGCATGTGCTGTCTGCTGCATGTGCCGTCTGCTGCATGTGCCGTCTGCTGCATGTGCTGCCTGCTGCATGTGCCGTCTGCTGCATGTGCCGTCTGCTGCATGTGCCGTCTGCTGCATGTGCCGTCTGCTGCATGTGCCGTCTGCTGCATGTGCCGTCTGCTGCACGTACCGTCTGCTGCACGTACCGTCTGCCGCATGTGCGGTCTGCTGCATGTGCGGTCTGCTGCATGTGCTGTCTGCTGCATGTGCCGTCTGCTGCATGTGCCGTCTGCTGCATGTGCTGCCTGCTGCATGTGCCGTCTGCTGCATGTGCCGTCTGCTGCATGTGCCGTCTGCTGCATGTGCCGTCTGCTGCATGTGCCGTCTGCTGCATGTGCCGTCTGCTGCATGTGCCGTCTGCTGCATGTGCTGTCTGCTGCTTGTGTCTGCTGCATGTGCCGTCTGCTGCATGTACCGTCTGCTGCATGTACCGTCTGCTGCATGTGCCGTCTGCTGCATGTACCGTCTGCTGCATGTGCTGTCTGCTGCATGTACCGTCTGCTGCATGTGCTGTCTGCTGCATGTGCTGGCTGCTGCATGTGCTGTGCTGGCTGCTGCATGTACCGTCTGCTGCATGTGCTGTCTGCTGTATGTGCTGTCTGCTGCCTCAAATGGCGGCAGGAGTATGAAGTGGGAGGCAAACTCTCGTTCAGAGCGCTTTAATACGGATGCTCTCGTTTTAACTGTAGGATGGTGGAATGAAACTCTCGTTTAGAGAACTTTAAAGCCCGGGTTCCAAATTAGTCAGCGCGGGACCAAACTGGGCCCAGTTTGATCTGTTTTTTTGCCCAAAAAAAATGCCCCAACCCTGGCTTCGCCACAGAAGTGACGCGAAGTTGCTGTTGCTGAATCTACAGTTGAACTCGAACTTTGTCAAATGGGACTCAACTCAATGTGTCATTGAGTCCCAGCCGTCGATCGGCCTTTCCAACCCAGGCTCTCGAGATTCAGTGAAGCTGGGTTCCGATTTTCATCTACGGCTGTAAGTATGCTTCCATTTTGGGACTTCGTGTGTCCCTGCGTCCCGGCCGTCAGATTCAAACTGGGCCCAATTTGAAGTCCCAAAACAACTGCGCCCAGTTTTCTTAAGAAGTCACTCGCGAAATGAACAAAGTTGCATTTCTTCGCACCGAATCATTTCATTTGTTTTCGCCACTTGCCCAGCCCACCTACCTCGCGCTGACTTTGTGGAACTAAATTGGGATCTGGGGTTTAATACGGATGCTCTCTTTTTAACTGTAGGATGGTGGAAGGAAACCCTCTTTTAGAGCGCTTTAGAAGCCCACTAGGTACGGTCGTGGTGTTGTGACTACTCCCCTCCTGGTGCCCTCTCCTCTGCTGCTTCGTCTCCTCCTGCTGCTGCTGCTGCCGGCGCTGCCGCTGCCGCTGCCGCTGCCACTGCCTACAGGTTCACACGGTCGAGGGGAGATGGAGGGGCGGTACCAGTGAGCTTCAGTGGCAGCAGCAGCCTCATCTGGGCTTTCTCTAAGTCCGGTTCAACCACGCTAGCCTTCCACGGCCGCAACCAGTGAGTGAGTCTGTCTGTCTGCCTGTCTGTCTGTCTGTCTGTCTGTCTGTCTGTCTGTCTGTCTGTCTGTCTGTCTGTCTGTCTGTCTGTCTGTCTGTCTGTCTGTCTGTCTGTCTGTCTGTCTGTCTGTCTGTCTGTCTGTCTGTCTGTCTGTCTGTCTGTCTGTCTGTCTGTCTGTCTGTCTGTCTGTCTGTCTGTCTGTCTGTCTGTCTGTCTTGAGGAATCTGGAAACAAGACTAGAGGGGCGGTACCAGGGAACTTCAGTAGCAGCAGCAGCCACCCTGGCCCTTCACAGCCGCAATCTGCCTGTCTGTCTATCCGTTACTCTGTCTATCCTTATATCTCTCTGTCTCTCCGCCTCTCTGTCCGTCCATCCATCGTGAGGACTTGATGTGTCAAGCTGCGTCGCAATGCCCGTCTGTCACTCGGCAGACTCTTCTCTTTCCTTCCACCCTAATGGATGCTCCAATGATTGCCCTTACACGGTTCGATGAATCTGGACCTCCCGTGTCGAACTGCAGCTGTCTCAGTAGGTGCAGATGTACCCTCAACCTACACTGCCCTGTTTCCTCTTCCTGCTCACCCTTATGCCCCATCAACAAAGGTTCAATGAATGTGGACCTCTCACGTCGTCGGACAGCAGCTGTCTCAGGAGTTCCGATGAATGTGGACCGCCAGTGTACACTCGACTATACCCACTCCGCCTTTCGTCTCCCTTTCTTTCCACTCGCATGAATGCCCTAACAGAGGTTCAATGAATGTGGACCTCCCGTGCCGGACTGCAACTGTCTCAGGAGGTTCAATGAGTGTGGACTTCTTGTGTGAGACTTATCATGTGATAGCAGATGCACGTATAACACCCTTGGGCTTTCCTTCTCATTCCATCCCCGCCCCCCTGACGACCTAACAGAGGTTCAATGAATGTGGACTTCTCGTGTAAGGCTGCAGCCAGTAGCTCGGGAGGAAGTAGTGGCAGGCAACTGCTGATGGGGAGGAGGAGGATGCAATTCTGTTCTGCTCTTACCTTCCTTCCACCCTGACGCCCTAACAGAGGTTCGATGAATGTGGACTTCTCGTGTAAGGCTGCAGCCAGTAGCTCGGGAGGAAGTAGTGGCAGGCAACTGCTGATGGGGAGGAGGAGGATGCAATTCTGTTCTGCTCTTACCTTCCTTCCACCCTGACGCCCTAACAGAGGTTCGATGAATGTGGACTTCTCGTGTAAGGCTGCTCCCAGTAGCTCGGGAGGAAGTCGGGGTGGTGGCGACAACGACAGTGGAAAAGGCGATGACAATGATGATGATGATGATGATGATGATGATGATGATGAGGGGGAGGGTGGATTTGAAAGGGGGAATGATGATGACGCAGACGATGACGATGATGATGATGATGATGATGACGATGACAGGGATGGTGATAGGGATGACGATAGGGATGACGATAGGGATGATGATGACGACGATGATAAGGAGGATTATTTTAAAGTGGGGGAAGATGATGACGACGACAAGGGCAATGGCAATGGTGATAGTGATGATAAGGAGGAGGACAGAGGGAGCCAATCACTGGCGTCCACGTCAGCAGCCTCTTCAGGCAGTGGCAGTGGCAGCGGGGCATGCCAGGTGTCAACTCTGCCAGGATATGCGTGCTCCATTCGACTCAAAGGCAACGAGTGAGTGGTGAAGGGGAAGAGGAAAAAGAGTAAGTATTGATTGTAACAGTGAGGTGTAGTGTAGGCTGTAACAGCCGTTCAGTCTCTATTCTCTCTGCAAGGCATGCCATGTCAGGGGTCAGCCCTGCCGGGATATGCGTGCTCCGTTCGACACAAAGGCAACGAGTGAGTGGGGAAGGGGAAGAGGGAGGGGGGAAGGGGAAGAGGGAGGGGGGAAGGGGAAGAGGGAGGGGGGAAGGGGAAGAGGGAGGGGGGAAGGGGAAGATGGGAAAGAGCGAGTACAGATTGTAACAGTGTGTGGCAGAGGCTGTAGCAGTGTGGCATAGGCTGTAGCAGTGTGGCATAGGCTGTCACAGTGTGGCATAGGCTGTAGCAGTGTGGCAGAGGCTGTGGCAGTGTGGCAGAGGCTGTAGCAGTGTGGCAGAGGCTGTAGCAGTGTGGCAGAGGCTGTAGCAGTGTGGCAGAGACTGTAGCAGTGTGGCAGAGGCTGTAGCAGTGTGACATAGGCTGTAGCAGTGTGGCATAGGCTGTAGCAGTGTGGCATACGCTGTAGCAGTGTGGCATAGGCTGTAGCAGTGTGGTATAGGCTGTAGCAGTGTGGTATAGGCTGTAGCAGTGTGGCATAGGCTGTAGCTGTGTGGTATTGGCTGTAGCAGTGTGGCATAGGCTGTAGCAGTGTGGCATAGGCTATAGCATTGTGGTACCATAACAACTTTTGCCTTTTTCTATAAATCAATAGCTAAACCGCCCCCCAGCTTCATTCCCCAGTTTTTTCCCTCTCTACCCCTCAACCCCCCCTCTTTCCTTCCCTTCTCTGGCCCCACCACCTGAGTTTTTTAGGAAGTTCAAAAACTGAACTCCTCCTAGCTTCAAAAACTCCCTCGTTCTGAGAATTCTCAAAGCCCCCACGGCCCCCCTCTTCCCCCCACGGCCCCCCTCTTTCCTTCCCCCCCTGTCTGCCCCCACCAATTAACCCCCTCTCTCCCATCCCCCCTCCCCCTTCTTCTCGTTTATTCCAGTTTCGTCCTGCACTGGAAGACTGGGGCAACCACTGTAGCTATGGCTGCTGAGGTGGCGACATCTGGTTGGGTGGCGGTCGGATGGTCTACGAGTGGCAAGATGTACCCTGCTGACGCAGCCATTGGGAATGTGCCACGTGGCACTCGTAGCAGCGTGGCGGCTGTGGGAGCGTACCATATGAGCGGGTATGGAGTAGCTGACGTGGCGCTGACGTCATCGTTCGAGGTGACCAATACGACGGCGACAACTGTGAATGGGAAAACAACAATCTCGTGAGTTAACAAGCATTTGTCTCTGTCCTTAACATAGTTTCATTTTCCCTGCTTCTTTCCAAATACTCTCTCCCCCAATACTGTCTCCCCCATACTCTCTCCCCCCATACTGTCTCCCCCAATACTCTCTCCCCCCATACTCTCTCCCCCATACTCTCTCCCCCCATACTCTCTCCCCAGCACCTCTCCTCTCTCCTCTCGCTGTAACCCGCACCCCCAACACCTCTCTCTCACTTCCCCACCACCCCCTGCACTTTCGATCAGCCCCTTTCAGTCGGCTCTGTCCCCCTCAGTGCCAATGGCACCACCACTCTCCTCTGACCCTTCTCACGATTATACTTGCTCCCTCTCTCCCCATTCTTCTGATAAATGACTCCACTATTCCACCCCCTCTTTGCCCTCCTTTCTAGATTTGAGCGTCCCCTCTCAGTCGGCTCTGTCCCTATCAGCGCCAATGGCGCCACCACTGTGCTCTGGGCGTTCTCTCGCTCTGACTCCCAAGAGCTGGAAGACCACGGGCCGAACAAGTGAGTGCGCTGGGCAGGGGTAGGATTTCTGTGTCTATGTTTGTCAGAGGATTCTGCTTTTGAGTCGACTCAAAAGCAGACTCATTACACGCGGTTTTTTAGTCGACTCAAAAGCAGACTCATTACACGCGGTTTTTTAGTCGACTCAAAAGCAGACTCATTACACGCGGTTTTTTAGTCGACTCAAAAGCTGGGCAGGGGTAGGGTTTCTGCGTCTATGTTCGTCTGAGGATTTCTGTGCTTTGAATGGACTTAGAAGGGGCCACCGCTGTGCTCTAGGTTTTCAATTGCTCGGATTCCCCAGAGCGGGAGGACCATGGGCCTAACAAGTGAGTGCCTGCCGAACAAGTGAGTGCGCTGGGCAGGAGTAGGGTTTCTGTGACTATGTTCGCCTGAGGATTGCTGTGTTTTGAATGGACTCAGAAGGGGCCACCGCTGTGCTCTGGGTGTTTTCTCTTGCTCGGGTTCCGAAGAGCTGGAAGACCACGGGCCGAACAAGTGAGTACTTAAGAAGGCCTCTAACTTGGGCCAAACAAAAGAGGAACATACTTTCTCCCTTGCACCCCCCCCCCCTTCCTCCCTCTCCCCGGGGTGCAAAGGCTGGAATGCAAACCAATCACGGGCCAAACAAGTGGGTACCTTCAAAAAAAAAAAAATGGTGAGTAACCAATGCGATGGCTTGAAGGCAAACAGTGCACGGGGCGAACGAGTAAGTACTGCTGATTGCATTCATTGGATCATGCAATTCAGTCAACCCTTCCTGAGTGGGGGGATTGGATCATTGCTGCCTCGCACACAGTCACCTTTTCCCCTGTGCAAGCAACCCTCAAGAGCTGGGTGATTGGGCTAGTGGCACATTCTCAAGATCTATGACCTTTGAGAATTCTCAAAAATCACCTTTGAGAATTCTAAAACATCACTTACAACCCGCAAGAGCTGGGTGATTGGCCGAGTGGCACATTTTCAAGAGCTACGGCCAATGAGCATTCTTTCTTGTCTCTCCCTTCCCCCGTCCATCCTGCCTCGCTTCCCGTCCCACCCCTCTCTCTCACTATAGACAACAGAAAGCTTCATCAGCATTCTTGGTTTCGTACGAATCGATTTGGTTTGAGACACGGAAGAGGTGTCTCTAAACTTCCTCGCTCATCTCTCCCTATTCCCCCCCGTCCCCCCCGTTGTTCCCCCCTTTCCCCTTCCCCCCCATTCCCCCCCATTCCCCCCCACCCCACTCTTCCACTTCTGCTGCCTTACCCAACAAGGGCTCCGTTACAATAAGCTTCGTTCCGGGCACCACAAGGTGGGGGTATTGAGTGGCAATACTTACGTGACCATAACACTTTCTTGCTCAATTAGTTTCCCTACCTATCCCCGACCTGCCCCCAACCTGCCCCCAACCTGCCACCCCCTTGCCTTACCAACAGATGCTCCGTAAGAATCAACTTCGTTTCAGGCCCAGTAAAGGTGGGGGAATCAGAAAGCACTACTGATGTGGCCATCACACTTCCTCTCTCCGTTGCTTTCCCTAACCTGCCCCTCCCCTGCAGAGGTTCTGTTAGAATCAACCTCGTTTCAGGCACAGTAGAGGTGGGAGAGTCAGAAAGCAGCGCTGCAACTCTTTATGTCGCACACGGGTGGATCCTCACTGTAGCTTTTGGCATTCTCATGCCGACCGCCATGCTTGTATCGAGGATATTCCTGGCGGATAAGCCAACTGCAGACCCTGCTACTGTAGCAGCGCAGGCAGAAGCAGCAAGGGGAGCGGGATTAGGGTTACCAGTTCAGCCAACGTTACAAGAAGAAAAGGATTTAGAGCAACTGCACTTAATAGCAGCAGGAGAAGAATCAGTGACTGTAATGCCGGTTACCACAGCAACCGTAGGGAAGCCATGGGTCAGCAAGGCTCAGGCGTTTGAGGCTCACAAGTGGATCATGCTCCTAGCTGTCACGCTCTCATTGGCCGGAATCATCATGGCGTTTGTCGAATCGGGATCGAGCTCCCTGCAGTCGACACATGGCAGGCTGGGATTAGCCGTGCTGCTGCTGATCGTTCTCCAGCCAATCATAGGCCAGCTGAGGCCGATCAAGAGCCACTTCGCGCGGCGCTATTGGTTCGCGCTGCATTGGGTGGTTGGCGTGGCGATTGTGGTAATGGCTTGGAGCAACACGTACCTTGGGCTCGAGCTGGCTAGCGAGAGATTCGGCTACAACACTGATGTGAGTTAGTGGGTTCGTGATGAGGGTTTGACCTATGAACTTTGGTGCGTGCACTGCATTGTGGCCGTGGCTTGGAGCAACATGTACGTTGGGCTCGACCTGGCAGGAAGAGATTCGGCTACGATCAGAATGTAAGTCTTTGGGTCCTGCATTCATATCTTTCATTCATACTTTTATTTTTCATATTGCCTTGATGCCATGCTTGTGGAAGGGTTTAATGCGAGTAAAGAGCATTTTGGGTGCTGCAAACACCATATGCTGCCCCTGCTTCATTGAAACACAGTATCTTGACTTGATTCTCTACTGCCCTTTCGCCCCTCTGTTTTCTACAGTCTGCCTTCCTTTCTTTCAGTCACCCCCATTTCTCTTGGGTCGCTCTTTCATTTCTCCCCCCCACCCCCCAACCCCCCCACCCCCCCTGCCACCCTCACCCTCCCCTCCCTCCCCTCCATCCCCTCTTCCCTTGCCCCATCCCTTGTTCCATCCTTCATAGTGGTGTGGTATTGCATTCTCCACAATGATTGGTCTATTCACTATAGCCTATGCAATCGATTTCGCCTGGGACCTAGTGGGCTCCACAATGCTTCGATATAAGCAGCCCCACATTGAGTTGCAGATGCTCAATCCAAAGAGGGTGGAGGTCGTGTTGATGTTGTAATGATCGAATGGCAATTTGTACCATGATAATGCCATTCGACTCTTGCCTCTTATGCAATGCAAGCATACTACATCATTGAGAAGAAATGTGTTCTCCATGTTAGTTGAGGACAATTAGGGATTGTACCTTGTATTTTCCCGTCACTTGAAAAGGACAACCAAGGTTTGTTGTAGTTTGCATTATGTAAAAATTTGAAGTGTTTACACTTACAAAACTGCTTATTGTGAATGTGAAGCTGCTTGTAACGTGATCTTCTGCATTGTCGAAGTGCGTTATTCGCCCTTCAACTATATAATGGGTTTGGAGGTCATTCTTCCTCCACCCACGTTTTTCATTTTACAAGTTCAATTGAGTTCCCATCCCGACTTTTTTCGCTCCGCCACTTTGGTCTCTTCAAGTTGAAAACTCTCCCACGCGGGCAAGCACCCTCCCAGCTTCTTGCGGATATTCTTACGCATAACCAGACACCCTTGGCCCCTCCTAGCACTACGGCCATTCGTGCTGAAAATCCGCCCATCGATACTCCAAATATTTAGGAAATCGAAGGCGCAGAAGGCGCTGAACGACAGGGCGAGCCCCACGCGTCAAAATAAGGGAGGCCGCGGGGCGGCCTTGTCCAGCGCGCTAGCACCCGCCACCCCTACTTTGACCAGCGAGCAAGTGGCGGCACTGCTCGCGCTGTTACAGCAAAACGCGTCCACGGTTATAGCAGCTGCGACTACCATTTCTGCATAGGCTAAAATTGAAGATGCAAGGAGTCGTCGCGTCACGCTCGCCCTTCCAAGATCGTCCGCGTTGAGAAGGAGCTCGCCGCTGCCACTCAAGATAATGCCAAGGAAGACAATGACTCCGACAAAGAGGCTGGTGAGGCTCATACGCACACTAATTTTTTCGCAACCACCGAGCACCTCCCACCTCTTCCTTCATCTAACCCCACCATCCTGGCATCTTCATTCAACCACATAGGGGTATGCGAGCAAGCTGAGTTCTTGGAAGACCTGCGAGCGTACTTGCAGCATGAGGAGCACAAGGTGCGCCACGGCGACACATCGAGCTCGCTCGAATATTTCGAGGAGGTTACGTGTATCAGAATTGAAGAATGAATAGAAGGCATGAGTACAAGGGTATATTACCTAAGGGCTGTACCCTCTAAGGCACAAACCTATACAGTCTATACAAACATAACAATATATGTTTGACACACCCCCTAACGTGAGTGCGAGCAACTCAGGGTGGCACTACTAGTCCAACCTCTGAGGCAAGGGTCTAAAGACCAGTCAAACCAGTACAGACCAATACAAGAGCAAGTCCAGGGCAGCACTACTAGTCCAGCCACAAGCAGAGGCCACAAGGCCAGTCAAAGGGTAAATATATATATATAAAGGTCTGTACATAGTCAAGGCCCTAGCAGGTGAGAGGCTACAGGAACGAGACTTAGCTGTACACAGTGCCGCTGATGAACTTTAGGCGCAAGAGCCTTCGTACAGATATCAGCTTTGTTGGCACCGGAGGCCAAGTATACTACGCGGGCGTGGCGACGCTGCTGTAGCTCGCGCATGAGGAAGTACTGCAGCTGGATGTGCTTTGCTCTGCCCTCAAGTCGAGGCTCCTGACACTGGAGGATCATGGCCCTGTTGTCAGCGTACAGGACTGGGGCAGAGCTAGGCCGCTGACCTACGTCAGTGAGAAAGAAGGCTAGTCATCGGAGCTCCTGTGCCGCCATGGCACCGGCGTAGATCTCAGCCTCACAGCTGGACTGAGCAACAGACGAGGAGCGAGTATTTCTCCACGAGACAGCACCTGAACCAAGGCTAAAGTAGTAGCCCTGCGAGGACCTGAGGGTCTCGGCGTCGTCTGCCCAAGAAGCGTCTGTGTGCCCAGTAAGGACCACTGGCCTGCGTCCTCCGAGCACTAACCCCATGCCTGATGTACTCGCGAGATAACGCAAAACCCTCTTAGCTGCAGACCAGTGCTAAGGTCGATGTATGCCTGTGGCCACCAAGCGAGCCAGGATGCTGAGAGGGTATGCGAGATCTGGAAAATCGGAACACTACGGCGAAGCAAGCTGTGCCAGTCGGGGAGGTCGGGCGACGGGCCGAAGCGCTGACGAAACAGGTCGTCCAGGTGACGGAAATAGCGGGCGGGGGAGTGACCGATCTTACCGCAAACAAAGCCACGGCGAGGACCAGTCTGGAGCTGGTACTGACAGCGCCCGTCACCTGAACCGCCACCCGACTGCACACCACGCGCACGACCACCACGGCCAGCGCCACCACCAGCGCCAGGCCACCAGAGCGGGAGACCACGCGCTCACCTCTGCTGCTGCGATTGCGGCTGCTGCAGCTGCTGCGGCTGGTGCTGGGGCTGCTGCTGCGGCTGGTGCGGATCCGGCTGCGGCGGCGGTGGCTGCACCAGGCACGGTCCCCTTGTCAGCGCTACCACCTGGCGACCCGACGCCACCACCACCTCCACTTGCACCACCACCCCCACCGCCGTGCCCAGCTGTCACAGGATCAAATGTCCCGAGGAAAGGTTTGCTCAATCTTCCACTATGAATCAGTACTAGGTGCTTTTATACTTCCAGATTACATCAGGTAACCAGGGTTATCCTATCCAAAGGGAATAGACTCTTCTAGAAATAGAATCACCCTGCGTATAGCCACGCGAGGCTATTGGCTTTAAGGGATTACGGCAGGATTACGCTAGATATAGCGCGCCAGTACATCCCGAAACTGGTCGGTGATATAATTATAATAACAAGATAAACCAAAGGATAATGGAAAAGGAGGAATAGGAAACCAAATGAGATGAGATAATGACCAAATGAATCAGGATAAAAAGAGGAATGAAATAGAAAGGAAATATGGAAAGGGGAAATCGGTGTAACGGGGTCGTACTCTCACACTTCCCCCCCTCAAAGCTGGGTGGTAGAAGTAACACCCTGCTTGACAAGGTAGTCGCGAAGAGGACGACGGGCGTTACCCATGTCGGATTCAGAGACGCAGCCTCAGAAGTATCATAACCCTTCCAACAAAGAAGAAGCTCCAGAGTGCCAGTCTGATGATGACGGTGTCCAAGTACGTAGTTGTCCCATGTCGTGGATGAACACGGGCGACGACAGTGGCTGGCATTCGGTGTAGAGCGTTTTTGGTCTTGATAGGGTTTAAGAAGCTGGTATGGAAGGCGGTATGGATCTTCCAAGTGGCTGGTAGGCGGAAGAGGAAGGTGACTGAAGTGACATTTGCTTCAACGAGGATGGACACGCAGAAGCAAAGTTGAAGCTTGGATGGAAGATTGCAGATGTCGAGATTATGGTGTGGATAACTGTGGTGATGAGTAGCCAGGTGCTTCTGCTGCTGTTGGATGTCCAAGTGCTGTGTCCGGTGTTAAAGCTGATGGACAACAGAGATGAAATGGATTTGTCGGTTGTTGTGGTGTAAGCGGGTTGCAACTGTAGGTGGTACGCGGATGGAACAGTGTGCTGTAACGTGCAGATGAATGGCTATGTTGTCCGATCCGTGCATGCTGCTACCCGCATCTGGTCCACGTGTGAAGATCACCAAGTGTTGGTGGTATGGCAGTCGTGTCGTAGTACTGCTTCTGTAGCAGTGTTGTTTCCGTTACATGCAGCTTTTGTCGAATGCTGGTCCATGCCGTAGTGTTGTCGCAAGTCGTACCCACTCGGCATCATAGTGCTGCGGAATGGAGAGCAGAATCACTAGTAGTAACCCTGTCCACCACGCGATCTGCTACTCACATTGCCTTGAGTACAACAGCGCATGCGAAGTGCTGCTCAGCGTATCCCTTGTGTTCAGAACCATGCGAGGGGTTGGTACCATAGACGCGGAGCAGGTAACTTCCAGAATCGGCGCCAAAGTAGTTTCCCTCGGTGGTTGCTCAAGCAAGGAATCTCTGCTGCGCAGATATCCCACGGTGATGGGTTAGGACCTCTGGGAATATTAGGGGTATTCCCAAGTAATCCTCTCCCATTTCCAGATGAGCATTGCTGACAGCCAATCCAGTATGACCTTATGCACGTCCAGTTTAGCACGGAGGCTATCGGTAGGCATCGGTGTCTGGTGCACATATTGGGATAGGTCTTCTGGTGCCATCATGTGTTGTCTCATTCTGTTACTGTCCTTGAAGTAGCGATGATGTCGAAGATGTCTCAGCTACTCAGCATAAATGTTGAACTCTGCTCCATTTCGGCAAATAGGGGTGTTGTTGGAGATACGCGGAGTCCACTATCCAGAGTGGCGTCGGCGCTCCATTCCACGCCTATCTGCTTCCGTGGAGTTGGTGCTGGTGATGGATTGGTTGTGACGCATGTTTTATGACTTTAAGGAAAGCCATAGGCCATGAGGACTTGTATACCGGTAGAGTACCGTAGTCCTCCCATCCTCATAAGAGCAAATATCTTCCACTCTTGAGGGTGTATGGCATTGCCATGTTGGTTCCTTGCATAGTGGTATCTCCTCCCCACTAGCTGGAAATCATAGTATTGTGCCTGGCCGGGACTTTACGATCCACTGGAATATAATCCAGCATTATCTCCATTGAGCGGAGAATCATCCATCAGGGTTTGGTTGTGACTGTTGTGTCGAGTCTTCTGCTGCGGCGGCAGCGGCGGTTGCGACGACGGTGACGGCGGCAGCTACTGCAGAGAATTCTCTCAACTCGTAACAGTTGAAGGAGAATCCATCAACCCCCTCTTCCCAGTAGAGTGTTCCTGATGGGTGTAACAGGCGTAACTACCAGGAACACGTGCACATTAGTACACATGTATTGCTCCATTGCTGCCGGTGATTGTTTCATTTGAGGGTGTGAAGAGAAATTTGCTTCTCCCCTCAATGTATCCACAGGTAGCAATACATGGTATGCTCATCCGTGCCTCCGATGTACGGTCGGTAGAGCGCGTGATCATGTTGTAGTAGTCCGCATCTCCCTCATTTGTTGACACCTCGTGTTGCTTGACGTTCTCCTGCATCGTCGAAGTTACGTTGGTGCTTGTAACGCTTCGGCTTCTGGTAGAATCGCCTCCAATGCATGTGCCGTAGGGTCGCTAGTGAACGAGTACTTGCCGAATTAGAGGTTAATTACTCCTCAATCTGTCAAGCATCGTGACGTGCACGGAATTTTCTTCCACGCAGGTCATTAACACCTGGAATCGCGACGCATGATTGGTGTGTC